TCCAGTGAGATTGTGGTTCCTGTGGTTTCAGTGAGATTGTGGCTCCAGTGGTTTCAATGAGATTGTGGTTCCAGTGAGATTGTGGTTCCAGTGGTTCAGTGAGATTGTGGTTCCTGTGGTTTCAGTGGTTCAGTTTGCACACAGAGCACAGATAAACATGGCACAAAGTAATGTGGCACAGCCTGGTTCAGGTACCTGGAGCACACAGGAAGGGAAATGCCCTGGCCTGGTTGGAGATCAGAGCTWCACCATGGGAGTCTTTACAGAGAAATAAAAAGATCCATTGAGAGGGCTCCAGGGCTTTTTCACATTTTGGAAGTGCCCAGATCATCAGGATCTGTATCCCTTCACAGTCAGTCACAGTTTGGCTGAAAGTCCCCGAACTCAGGAGATTCCTGTCACAAAAACTTCACATTTCCTGCTCCTCACAGATGCAAAATCTGCTTTGCAATTACAGACATYAACTGCATGGAGCATCAGTACTGCTCTGAGCATTCTTCCCACTGTATTTAGGATTGTAGCTCAGAATTCTAACAAAAAAACTTAATATTAGAGGTTGAAGCTTTGTGCTTAGTGAGCTTGTAGCATTATTTCCCAATAATTCCGGGATCATCTTAAGACTGAGATTTCTTAGGTGTTTCTCTCAGGGTTTGACACCCCCTGAATACTCTTTATTTTTCTCTCTGAAGCATTGATTTCAAACTGTGCTTGTGTTCAATGCAAATTTTAATCTTTGAAGAAGATTGTGTTTTGCAGAACTGGAAACCTGGCAAATGTCACTGAAAAATGGAGCTGCATGTTTGAGTAAACTCAACTCCAAATTCAGCTGATTGTAATTAGAGTTGCTGAGAATAAAACATGATWGCAAATTGCCAAGGAAAAACAGTCTCAATTTCATGTCCTTCCACAGAATCATAAACATTTCTATGAAATGGAACCATTTTAGGAGAAAATAAAAAAAAATGAGAGTGAAAAGCACATTTCCCAGGGGTATTTAATTTCATTTCTTCATGCATCTCCACTGTTTTCTCGTTCYAGAAAGTTTCCAGTAATCTCTGTCATGCAGATCCCTGTTTTGCAATCAAAGTGGAACGTGCACCGAAGTGTCCCTATCTCTCACTTYCCAGCTATCATAAAAACAAAAATTTCTGCTTCCAGCGGAGCTTTTTGCCCTCAAATGTCCCTCTGCAATCTCTACTGATAAAAATC